GATCTGGGATATGAAGCCAGCCTGTCCCAAGTCTGTCTACTGGAGACACTGAGAGCAAGATTTGGTGATGTCACTCTATTTCACATCATGCTCATCACTAACATTACTGCTATCTACCTCCTCCCCTGGTCCCCAGTTGCTAGGCCTTAGACTAGGCCTGTGCTGATGGTGGTTGGAAAAGAAGCAGAGGTCTGGCATCAACGGTGTTGCTTTCTCTCTTGTCAATGTGAACAACGACACACAGAGGGAGGGAAGTTTGAGTTTGACTATATCAATATGTTTAGGTGACTATTAGGTGACTGTGAACAAGAAAGTGAGAGTGAAAGACAAGGAGGATAATCTCATGAAAAAGAGGGTATATGAGGGAGAAGTAAACATACGTGGATGCATGTGTATGAGGCAGAGAAGGCAGTTCGGGAGCCACCGAGCCCTACAATAATACCTGAAACCGTGTGGCTCAGAGTCCAGGAAAAGGACAGAGAATGTAGAAGGAGGGAGGGAGGGAGGGTGCCTTCTGATCTTTGTGCATGTGTGTAGATGGATGTGCAGTCATGGGAGAGAGATCTAAAGAGAAAGAGAGAATGGGTGAATCTGTTCATCTCCAGGAAGCAGGTGGATGAAGTGGCAGAGCTGAGAAAGCCACGCATGAAAGAGGAAGAAGACATGCGGGTGTGTCCTTTGGAGCTATGTGCCTGCCCCCACAGGGCTCTGTGAAGCAGAGTCAGGCCACGTGCCTGGGCAGCTGTGTGGATCTATTCATGTGTGCATGTGGTTAACAGGAGCGTGTGAATACACGTAGGAGTGGGAGTGCTGGGGGGGAAGGGGGGGAGGTATGAACTACTGTGCCTGCCCTGGGGTAGCTGTGGGCTGCCAGGGAGTGATGGTGATGTCTGAGGAGGCAGGAAGTTCAATCTGAGAAAACTACATGACCTGCCTGATGATAGCTAGCTAAGTAAGGTCCAGGTGACCGTGGCTGCCAGGGTGTGGGGTGTGTGTGTGTGTGTGTGTGTGTGTGTGTAAATGAATGAGTCACACAGGCACGGTTGGTTCTTATTCTGCCTGTGGCCTGTGACTTGCCTAGTAGAGGAATGAGAGACCATTTAGGGCTGTGTTTATTTAAACACCATCATTATTCTGCAATTGCCTGCAGTGTCCATGGGTTCCCTCTCCTCTCCTCTTCTCTCCCCTTCCTTCCTTCTTTCCTTCCTTCCTTCTTTCCTTCCTTCCTTCCTCCCTTCTTCCTCCCTCCCTCCCTTCTGACTTTTTTGTGCTGGTATTGTGGCTTAAACACAGGGCTTGGGTGCTGTCCCTTAGCTTTTCTGCTCAAGTCTGGTGCTCTATCACTTCAGTCACAGCTCTACTTCCAGCTTTTTGGTGGTTAATGAGTCTCATGGATTTTCCTGCCCAGGCTGGCTTTGAACCACAATCTTCAGATCTCAGCTTCCTAAGTAGCTAGGATTATAGGTATGAGCCACCAGCACCTGGCAATGGGCTCTTTCTAAAGGCTCAGCACTCTAACTCTCTTGTTCTATATACTTTCCTTTCTTTTACATTTTGATTGCAGTTTAGGTCAGTGTGCCACAAATGTATTCCTCATCAGATTCACATCTACTGGTCTTTCCCATTGTCCTTTTCTTGACTTTCACTTTCTCTACAGCATTTTACCACTATTTGCCATATTATCTTTCCTTATTTTATTTACTATTTATCTTCCTTTTATTGAAAATGTCTATACAATACTTATACATGTTAAGCCTTGTTCCACCCTCTCTATTAAGACACTGAATCTTCCAACATTTCTATGTAGTAGTGATTATTAATCTTGCCGTTTTGTAGATGGGAGACAGTGGGGATAGAGTACTTTGTTTAGGATTATTCTACAGACAATGGTAATGCCATGCCTGGGACCAGAGTCCCAGCTCATACCCATCACGTAGTACTGTGCTGTGAGGGTGGGCAATTTGGTTTACTGTTGACCCTCCAGTGCTTACAATAGTCTCAAACACATGGATGCTCAGTTAATAGTGGATAAACGAAGACATTAATGAATAAATACTGAGTGTGGAGACAGAGAGATGAAGCTGAGAGATACGTGCCTGCAAAGAGCTCACAGTGCCAGAGAGGTGACAGCACCAAACCAGGATGCATCAGAGGCACACACAACTTGCCTCACCCTTGGCAGATAGGGCTTTGTAAAGGAAAGACTCAGAAGGGGTCAGGCTCAGTGATAGTGTCTATGTCTTCCCATCCCCTGGGGACAAAAACACCTTCACTCTGCCTCAGTTTACACTCGCTCCACCGGCACAGTGCAAGTAGAGCAGGGTATTGGTCATGACACAGCTCTGGAGACTGGATGGACTGAATCTTTCCTCTATCCAACACCAGCTCAGCAACCTTGAGCAGGTATAGCCTGACCTCCTAGGCCTCAATCCTCTCATCTTTAAGATGGGGGGGGCAGTAAATGATACAACTTCCTGGGTATTGCCTAAGGCAGGCAATGTGCCAGCTCCAATGGAGATGACTAATATTCCTTTTCCATTCTACTTTGTTTGTTGGCTTTGGGGGAGGGATGGGAGAGAGAGTTAGAATTAAACATATTGTGCTTCATACTGTAACCTTCTTCCTATCTTCAAGAAGTGGCTCAAAGCAGAACTTATCCATAAGCCTTCATTAAGGCAGACACTATGTTTGTTTAATCTACTTCTACATCTCCAGCACTCAGTAGCATTTCTGAGCCATAAATGTTCAAAAAAGTATTTGTTGAATGAAACTGGGTGCTGCTGGCTCACACCTGTGATCCTAGCTGAGATCTGAGGATTGTAGTTCAAAGCCATCCTGGGCAGAAAAGTCTGTGGGACTCTTTATCTCTAACCAAGTAGCAGGAAGCTTAGGTGTAGCTCAAGTGGTAGAGCCATAGCTCTGAGCAAAAGAGCTGAGAGTGAGAGACCTTGAGTTTAAGCCCTAGTACTGGCGCATACACATGAAAGTATTTGTTGAATGAACGAGTGACTTATTTACTCCCCAAGGACTGTTGTGAGGATTAATATTCATGTTGTTGTTATTTGCACTTACAGAAGGACTGTAGATATTTCAAGGTTAAGCACATAGCCTGTAAACAGAACAGTCAGACTCAAATATTCCCCTCCCCCCTGCCATGCTCTCTCCTTTATACCACACTCTTCTCTGGACTTCTATACATTGTGTCCTACTTTCTGTGCATTTTTTTTCCTACCTAGTGGGGCCATCTCTGATGGTAGAATCATCTCCAAATTCTATGACTCATATCTGAATCACAGAACTATTTAATAGTTGAAAGGGACTTTGATGTCATCTAGACCTCCCGCCCACTGTGGAAATTTCCTTTCCAATGCCTCGCTTCCTAATACTTGAATGCCTCCAGTGATGGAACACTCATTTTCATCCCGTGGAATCATTAGTTCTCTGACTAGTCTATTTGGAGAGTCAGAAAGCAAGTTCTGTCTCCCGTGGGCCCACAGGCTGCTCGCTCATTTCTGTGTACTGGGTTTACACCATCATCCTAAGATACACAGAATGGATCTGCACATGACAGCCTTGCAGATATTCAGACAGCTGTCACATTCATTCAGAGAATTCTTTCTCTTGAGCTAGCTGGTTTGGTCTCCACAATGGCTCCTCCTGGGAGATCTAGCCATCCTCCACCTGATCAATGGAGTGTCCACAGTGATCAATGGTGCCCTGACTGTGCCACTGGACTCATTCAGCATGACTGAGGAGCTGCACAGTGCTGGATGAATAAAATTACTGATTATTTTGAAGAGACATGACTTCAGCATCTTATATCATTGTTTTCAATGTTTATCTATTTCAGATTGATATTTATTTGTATGGAGAGTCTATCATGAGGTTTCTGACAAGCTACAGATTTGGGACTTCCAAAGATTATATAATTTTAAATGTTTGGGAGGTGACATGAAAATGTATTCTGTGTTACAGGATTATTCTTATTTTTCCTCTCTTTCCTCTTCACTTGTCTTTTTTTTCATATGTGCCAGTACTAGGGCTTGAACTAGTACTAGGGTCTCTTACTCTTACTTGCCTCTTTTGCTCAGAGCTGTGGCTCTACCAGTTGAACTACACCTGCACTTCCCGTTGGTTGGAGCTAAGTCCTGGGGCTTGAACTCAGAGTCTGAGCCCTGTCCCTGAGCTTCTTTTGTTCAAGGCTAGCACTCTATCACTTGAGCCACAGTGCCACTTCTGGCTTTTTATGTTTATGTGGTACTGAGGAATTGAACCCAGGGCTTTATGCATGCTAGACAAGCACTCTACCAGTAAGCCACATTCCCAGTCCTTATCTCTGCTTTCTAACATTGCTACAATGGACACTAGCCAGTGAAAAATACAAAGATAAAAACACTGCTAAAGAGAGAATAGGGTCCATTCATTAAAAACCTCCCTGCTCCCTTTTCCTTCATTCCTTCCAAGGCTGTTTATCATGACTTGTATACCACTCCAAATGGAGGGCCATGCTGCCACCCTGTGGGCAGCAGTGTCCTGGTCATGTCTCTAGTGGCCGTGGTCAGGGGTCCAGCCAGCCAAGCTCCTACAGCTGCTGTCTCTTGGACCACACCAGCAAGTTCATGGCTGGCAGTCATTTTTGCATTCCATCCCCTACCTTCCCAGTCTTCATTTAGACCACATCCAGCTGGTTTATAGTTCTTCTTCTACACTTTTGAAATCTGCCCAACAAATCACTGGTCTGCAGTATGTTCCTCTCAGCTCTGAGCAACCTGGCCCTTCCCACTTCGGTCCACTTCCCAGAACACCCTGGGATGCTCCCTCCTCCTCTAGGAGATGCTGCTAGAGCAGCTCCAAATAGTAACAGGGCAGAAGACACCAGGAATTAGAAAGGAAGATCCTCATGTACACAGAGACCTTGGAATAGCAAGTGGAAAGCTAGCCAGTCTTCATTGCAGTCCTGGGTCAGAGCCCTGGGGCCTCTGGGTGCTGGGGAGACTTACCCGGCAGCCTCTCGCTGCAGCACATGTCCAGGGCCCCTTCCTCGGAGTCATCAGCTGCGTGGTTCTCTCTCTCACTCCTGCAGCAGGAGGAAAAACACGAGTTGATACTGTTGAGCTGGAGTTAGACTCTGAGGAAAAATAAAAGCCCTGTTCTGTACTGTGTGTTCCTTAGAGTAACCTCATCTCATCAGGGGGACCTAAGGAAAAGACCAGCCTTCTCCAGGCCAGGCTGCAGTGGTGGGAGCGAGTGTCTTCCATGTAGAATTATCATCACCATCCTTCCTATCAGGGAAGGAGGGATTAAATGTGTACAAAGCTCTTTAAAATCTTTACAGAACTATATATCCTTACCATGATCCCTCTGAAACAGGAATTATTAAACAGGCACAGAGAGGTTAAGTAACTTGCCCAAGGTCACACGACTCATTAGGCTGGAACTGAGTTTGAAATGATACCTCAGGACTCCAGGCTCCTGCTCTTACTGCTGTGCTATTCTACCTTCTAATTCCTATAGTCTTGAATCATGAGTAAACAAGAAGAGGAATCACACACAATCCTATGTCTAGCTTCCTAAGATGTTCAAGAACCCTGGGTTTCTGGCAGTGGAAAATGGCATGAAGAACTTACCTTCAAAAATAGCTAAAGCAGGAGTAATAAATATATTTTGCATCTTTTAAATGTTCCCTAGATCAGATCTCCCTTTTTGTGCCAGTACTAGGGCTTTAATTCAGGGCCTCATGCTCTACCTTGGCTTTTTTTTTTTACTCAAGAATAGCCCTCTACCACTTGAACCATGCCTGCACATTCAGCTTTTTGCTGATTAATATAAAAGAGCCTGTCAGGATCAAACTGGGATCCTCAGATCTCAGCCTCTTGAGTAGCTAGGACTGTAGGTCACCAGTGCTCAACATAGAACACCCTCAATCTAGTCCATCAGGGAACCTTACAGAGGTTCTAGACTCTAGAACCCCAGTAAGCTGGAGAACGGCTGCTAGAAATCAACTAGACTTCAGGAAGTACCTTTGGAGCTGATATACCTTGCGGGCAACCATGTAGTTTACAGGGGTCCACTCCTCTCCTGTGGTAATAGCCTTAGGGCAGGTGTGTACTCCAATGCCCTTGGCTGACCCTCGTGTCTGCCCTTGGCACTCGTGACTGACCACAAAAGCCAGGCTGGATTCCTGCCTTTACATGTTTACAATACACACTGGAGGCCTGGGATTGTACTGTTAAATGCTGAATCATGGTCATGAGAAGGGCTGTCCACCTCTGCTGCCAGGGCGACTGAGAAGCCTAATCCTTCTCCTGTGGAGCCCTGAGCAGGCAGCATGTCCATCAAAACCGCGAGATGCCCCAGGATTCTCTGTTAGGCCTCCCTGCCTCCATTTTAGCAAAGCCAGTGGGACGTACTTTGTGAAACTGGCACCCCCAAATCCTTCATCACAAATGAACTAGCACAATACTTGCCATAAGACCAGGAGATCAGATGACTCTCGGCCCTCTTGTCCTGCAATCTAGCCTCTCTCACCGTTCTTGGGGCCTGTTTAAATCTGCCCAATGACAGATTTAAATAATTAAGGGCAAACAGGCCAGGTCACACTGGCCCCTAAAACAGTCTCCACATGTTCCAGGGCAGATGGCCGATGTAGGCAGTATAGTTTACATCCTGAACACTGGATGAAGCAGGGTTGTTTTTTAATTTAATTAATTTATTTATTTTGCCGTGTGGGGCCTGACCTCTGGGCCTAGCCTCTGTCCCTCAGCTCTTCAGCTCAAGGCTAGCACTCTACCACTTGAGCCACAGCACCACTTCCAGCTTTTTCTGCTTGTGTGGTGCTGAGGAATCGAACCCAGGGCCTCATGCATGCAAGGCAAGCACTCTACCACTGAGCCACCTTCCCAGCCCTGGATGAAACAGGTTTTAACTAGAACCAATCCCTTAAAATTCAAATATCTCACATAATGTTCCTTGAAGAAATACTTTCATGACACCCTACTGCACTTAGGTTATGAATATCCTTTCATATAGTTCACTAGAGGACGTATGACCTGTGTGATCGGGGCTATATGATATTGTATGATCTAGCCTCATTTATGTCTCTGATTTTATCTCCAACGTCATTCTATCTCCCCTTGACAGTCACATCCTGAAAAATTAGAGAACGGCCCTTGCTGCCCACCTGAATCATCTCCCTTCCTTTTCCCCCTAACAAACACATCCTGTAACTTTAAAAGAGATCATAACCTGTGACCCAGGTCCATACTGGGTATTAGTACATCTGCTGAACTCAGATGCTGTTAAAAACTCCTATCCTGTGACTCAAGATAAGATTGCTCTCCCACCTGAACTCCATCTTGGCACAAACAGCCTATCCTGCCCCTAACTCCATGTCAAACAAACCACCCCTGATCTCTGCCCTGCCTGAGTTCACTTTTCTGCCTGATGAAAAGGGACCCTAGTTGTAAGGGCGGTGACCCATTTTCTCTTCAGTACACCTGAAGGAGACTTGGTTGTCCTTCCCAGGTTTTCTTCCCAAATAAAACCTTTTGGTCTGCTGAGTCCATCTTTCTGCTCTTTTCCCTCACCCCTTTCACCCCGTTCAGCCATGCTGGACAGGTTGTTGCCTTCATCTATACTTCATCTATGTTGTCTAGAGAGGCCCTCCAACTCTACTTCCCAGTAGTTTCTCCTCCTTACGCTTGTCACAGTAGGCAGTTCCATTTTATTTTATAATATTACTTGATTGGCATCAAGCCATTAGGCAGCAGGCTACAAAAGGACAGGGTCCACCATTCCTGTTTTATTTATCACTGTATCTTCAGAGGCTAGCCTGGCTCAGAATAAGGTTCAGCAAATAAACACTTGTGGAAGAAATGGATGATGCTGCCCTGATATTCTTGTGTGTGTGTGTGTGTGTGTGTGTGTGTGTGTGTGTGTGAACACATCAGGGACCTCAAATATAACATCTGAGCTACTTGTTGGTAGTTCTTTGTTAAGTTTGGAACCCACCTCCATAGCTGCTATCCAAAATAGTCAGAGAATCATGGGGGTTGGAAGTCCTCTCATTTCACAGAGGAGGACACGGGGGGGGGAGAGAATAGGAAAGTGACTTGTGGTTGGTTGATTCTGAGGTGGTAACCACAGGACTTAAGTTCTAGAACTCCTATACCCAGCTTCTCAGTCCTGTGCTTGCTTTTTAGATCTTAATGGTCAACCCAGGTGGAGAGCATTTATAAAGGTGGCCATGGCAAGGGGCAGAGAGTAACCAAGGAATTCAGATACCTCTGGAAGGGGACCTATGTGCGTGACTCACACCTGCTTTCACACCTTAAGCCTCCTAGGCCTCCAGCCGAGTTCAGAATAGCTCAGTGCTGCATTCATGCAAGGGACTCTATAAATAAGCTTCCTAGAAAATGACTAATTTCATAATCAGAAAAGCAGAAAGAGTAGCACCTCCCAACTACAGAAGAAAATGGAACAAGAGTCACTGCTCTGCTCTGGTTGAATAGGCACCCTAGACCAAAGCTGTATGTCTAAGTTGTTCAGGAGAGGACTTAACTAGATTCCCAAGGTGATGGCACATTTAAGTTGGATGAAGAAGCTCAGAGTCTGAGCTTTGCCCTCCTCCCTGCCTACCAGGAGCAGAAATAGCTTCTTGTAATGGATTTCTATAGGCTTGTTCTCTCTCCCCCTCCATCTCCACAAGCCAGGCAACAGGAGCTGAACGCTGGCCTGTGTCAGGGACTTGCTGGCTCCCTGCTGCTACTCTTAGAATCAGAAAGCCCCAGAGATGATGGGATTGATTCAACAAGCATTTTCAGAGCAAAACCCAGAGCTGTCCCACGAATATAATGTTAGCAAGCCAGGCTCCTTCTTACTGGCCCCTGTTTGTCTGAAGAGCCAGACATGCAAATATGATAGTACCCAGATAACTCCTTTAATTGATGGTATACATGGGAATGTCCCTACTCAGTAGTAATGGGCAGGGGCCTAGAAGTGGTCTGGCAGGTGAGCAGCTGGTTTTTAGAGGACAATCCTAGGTAGGTGATGGGTTACAAGGGAAAGAACTTCTTGAGCAGTGCAAATGGTAAGAGTGAGACATAGAGGCCTGAGATGCATGGAACATTGGCACTAACCGGAAGTAAGCTGGTCAGTGGGATGGGGAAGCAGATGGGCCTAGACTTTAGCAGAGACCAGAGAGCAAGAAACAGCCCAGGCGTCAGGAATCTTGCCTCTTTTGTGGGATGGTCTTCTTCTACTTGACCATGTGGCTTGGCTGTGCCAAGGTGTGGCATCGGCTCCCCCATGGCTGGCCTGGACTGTGAGGTTTACAAGCAGAAGGACTGGTGACATACATTACAGGAATAAACATCAGACCCAGCAGGTGGCCCAGCTACTAATTTGGTCCCAATTATTTCTATTTTAATTGTGATACAATCTGCTGAGCATAAACCCACCTTTTTAATGTATAGAATTCAATATCCTTTAATATATTTGTGATGTGCAACCATCATTATCTAGTCCCAGAATATTTTTTTTTGTTGGTTGTGGGGCTTGAACTTTGGGCCTGGGCGCTGTCCCTCAGCGATTCAGCTCAAGGCGAGCACTCCAGAATATAGTTTGTTGTTTTTTTTTAAATCACTATCCAAAGAAACTATATATATCCATTAAGAAGTCATTCCTCCTCCTCATCTCTCCACAGTCTGACAAACACTAATTTGATTCCTATTTCAATGGGCTTCTCAATTCTGGATATTACAGCTAAGTGGAATCATAAAATATTTACATCACATGTACCCTTTATGTTTGGTTTCTTTCATTTAGCCTAAGGTTTTCTAGGCTCACCCAAGTCATCCATGTGCCAGTACTTCATCAGTTTTGTGGCCAAATATTTCCCACTGTATGCATGGGCTACATTTTATTTGTCCAGTTATTAGTACATGGACCTTTGGTTCTGCCTTTTGGCTACTGAAAATACTGTTGCTGTGATACACTTTCACATCATGCTTCTACAAACTTATGATTCCGGGCGCTCCTGTCTTTGCCTTGGGCCTGAGTCTTGTTCTACAAACATGGTGGTCAGACTTTAAGTTCCTTACAGCTTATATCTTTACCTTCAGTTGCTTATTTGCACTTTCTATTACAGCTACTCACCAGTGCTGAGAGCTGGAGAGCCAGCTTGGACCATCCCTCCCAGCTTCCAGGAGCTCATGGCTGGTGTGGGAGACACAGTAGCTACTGTGAAGTGTTGGGCAGTGGTCTATTTGGGGAGGACTGGGCCTACTTCTCTTCTCCCAGGGGGGTAACATGGGTGTAGGGGGCATCTTAAAGTGAACACTAGCTTTTACCAGGACTTATGCAGAGAAAGGGGACAGGGTTGGTGCAGAGGATATGAGCCTGTGTCCACAGTGGGTGAAAAACGGAGAGTTGCTGGGGCACTGAAGCTAAGGTTTCTGGGTGTAAAGCTGAGCCAACTTAGGAAGGTACGGCCTTTATTTTGCCCTTGGAGCTCTCTGAAGCACCCTTCCTTGTCACCACAGAATTCTTCTAAGTCGTCTTAAGCTCTGATGGTACTAGACAGCTCTATTGCGGAATCACAGCGACCCTCTTTCACTTCCATTCCTTTGGTTCATGCAGTTCCTCAGCTTGCAAAATACATTCTTTCCAAATTTTTCCAATCTTACTCCTCTTCCACAGGTCTGAGATATTACCCATTTCCTAAAGCACTCCCTAATCCCCAGAGAAGAAGCAAACTTTCTTATCTCAGCTCCCCCACATACTTTGTTCTGTTGCTATAATAAGCTGTTTATGCACCTGTAAACCCTTCCTTCCCTCCCTCCCCCCCCCCTGCACTTTCAATGACTGGGGAGCATCTTCCCTTCATCACTAAGGCATCCCTGGTGCTCAGCACACAGCCTGAGCCTATGGGAAGTCACAGTGATGGTCGAATGTAGAGCAGTGGCTAGGGTCTGGGAGGGAAGACTCCAACTAGGAGCTTTCCTACAGAAGATGGACAGGCCATGGCCAGAAAGAGGCACATAGTGCTGTCCAGATTTTTTCTCCCAGTATATTCAGCATTCAGGGGCAGAACACATGCCAGTTGCATGGAGAAGAAATGACCAGGCTGACTACCTATCACAGGTAGAGCAGGTAGAGCAGCCCCCACCCCCACCTTGGTGGGTGGGCTGAGAGACCCACGCATGCTCACTCACCTAGCTCCCTCAAACTTCATTCCCAAGGTATCCAGGTGGGGAAAGGTGCCATCTGGGGCCAGGTCAGGAAGTTTTCTCAGCAAAAAAGCAAACTGTAAATGTGAATATAAGAGAGAGGTCATGTTCAGAATGTCCAGATGGAGAAACTGAGGGATAGGAAAAAATATAACTTTCCTCAAGCCACAGTGTGTGAGAAATGGTTTATAGGTTGTTCACAAAGACCTCATTTTTTTTTTTTTGCCAGTCCTGGGGCTTGAACTCAGGGCTTGGACTCTATCTTTGAGCCTCTCTGTGTTCAAGGCTAGAGTTCTAGCTCTTAAGCCACAGAGTTACTTCTGGCATTTTCTGTTTATGTGGTACTGAGGAATTGAACCCAGGGCTTCATGGATGCTAGGCAAGCACTCTATCCAGCCCAAATCCTGATTTCCTTCTTTTTTGGGGGGAGGTCTGGTCGTGGGGCCTGAACTCTGGGCCTGGGCACTGTCCCTCAGCTCTTCAGCTCAAGGCTAGTCCTCTACCACTTGAGCCACAGCGCCACTTCCGGCTTTTTTCTTCTTGCTTATGTGGTGCTGGGGAATGGAACCCAGGGCCTCATGCATGCAAGGCAAGCGCTCTACCACTGAGCCACCTTCCCAGCCCATCAAATCCTGATTTCTTATTGGGAGTTACTTCTTACTTTATACCTAGTGCCTGTCTGCTCCTAAACACAAGGAGACCCCCCACCCCCAAAGCAGAACTTGATCACTCATCATTTCTGTTATACCTCCAAGGCCTCTTATCAACATTTTTGCTGCCAAGGTTACTCAGTCAATTTCTGTTGCTGGCAGCCAAAGCACCCAGACCGATATGTGCAGAAGATTTGGGGAACAGGCAGGCTCTGCGCCCAGGACTCCCAATGCCTAGTTCACTGCTATTTCCATCCCGCCAAGCCGCCTACCCTCCTGGCCCAGCTGTCCATTGTCCAGCCATCTGTGCCCATGTCTGCGAAGACTGCAAACTTGGAGTGCTCTAGATCCCAAACACAGGGTCTGAGTGTTCTCTGGTTGGGATGTGCCTTGATGAATGACTTTGATTCTATCTTTGCTCTGTTGGTAGGGGGAGTAGGGGAAATGAACATGACTCAAGGAAGGGAAGACAAAAGGGTAGTAGACAGGCCCAGGGCTCTAAAGGGCTCAGACATCCTTCAGGAGACTCCGATTCAGGAACTAGCCCATTCACTTGTTCAACTTGTGTTTACTAAACAATTCACTGTGTGCAGACCACATCTGAGGCTCTAGGAGCACAATGAAATAAAAGCACCGCATGGAAGATGCAGGTAAAGGAAAGGAAAGGCAACTTTGGGGCAAGTCTAATGGGACATGTGCAGGGTGTCCTGGGATCACTGAGGAGGCCCTGCACGAAGCAGAGGAGTCATGGGATTGAAAGGATGAATGTGGGATGTGGGTAGGTGTTCAGGCAGAGGGAGGGCAGGTGACAGACCTGGATTTGGGAGAAAGCAGGGCACATTCAGAAATGGAAAGGACCTCAGGCTTACAAGGCAAATATGGGAAAGGAAATGAAGCACAGGATGGGAAACCTGGCTGAGATGCTCCTTGGTAATGTTTTCCTTTTTATCTTCCTTCTTCCCCCCACACAAAGCACACAGACCCCCAGCTATCTCCAGGAAGGTATGGTTTCAGGACCCAAGACCATGTTCCCCATGTGGTTCTGTGTTCTGTGGAAGCTGAAGCTCCTAGCTGGGATGGTGGCTATCTAGGGTCAAGGAAGGTGAAGAACTGATCAGTTCTGTGACATGTGTGTGTGTGTGTGTGTGTGTGTGTGTGGTGTGTGTGTGTGTGTGTGTGTGTGTGTGTGTGTGCAAAGAGGGCCAAATCTTATTCTCTGGGGCTCCTGGGCTCCACAAATATACATCTACCCAAAGCATAGAAGCAGCAGACTCTGGAGAGGCTGAAAGTAGAATATCTCAGCTCTCCAGTGTGGCTTCTTCCAAGTATCCTTGGTATGGTTATAGCAGCAGGTGAGAAGGGTACCCCAGAAATGTTGGAGATGGAATTTCCTACCCCAGGAGAGATGGGGAGTGCTGAGTTCAGCCTTGTTTTATTTAAGGAACACAGTAAGACATTTCTTTGTGTTGGAAGGTCAGGAAACTTACTGTGTTACAGCTCAGTTTCTACAGTCTCCCCCTCCGCCTCTTCTTGGGGGCTACTCCTAATTGGTTTGACAAATCCATTCTCTTCTGATGGTAGGTTAGTAAAGATGGAAAGGAATAGAAGGAGGCGGTCAGAGGGAAGAAGGAAGCAGAAAGGATAGAACTGATCTCTAGCCACTGGTTTAGGAACACCTTCCACTGCCCTTCCTGATAAAGAGTATGACAATGACAAAACAGTATTAACACCAGAAGGAGCATCAATCTCTACTGATGCCTTGTCACACATGCCAGGTGCTATTCTGAAGGCTTTACATGTGTGACATGCTTATTCCTTACAACAGCTCTGGAAGGAACATACTATCACATGCATTTTCCCAGTGAAAGGTAGATATTCAGAGAAGGGGGCCACAGAAATACTACTATAGTCTTGCTCCTTGCTGCTCATATTCCTAACCTTTCTTCTCCTCTTAACTTCTAGACTGCCCAAATCCTTCCTCTACAGACAGAAACACAGTATGCGTTCTCAATATGAGACTTGGAGGTAAAGGTGAGGATGGGGATTTGCAGGTTCACCTCTATCAGGTGCCAAGGGGGCTTCCTGTTGTGCACCCTCCCAGAGCTGAATGATGGACCTCCTGTTTGGACATGATCTTAGGTTTCTCCATGAAGCCTTATCCCAGGCTAAGGAGAGGTTAGCTGGAAATATGTGATGGTGACATCTGTGTTCTATCAATAGTAGAACAAAGGCATTCCCCAGCCCTGGGCTACCATGGTCACAGATGACCATGCCAGTTTGGGTCAGTCATCTATCCTGATCTGAATCTCAGTTGCCTAAATGAAAATCAAAGGGGTTGAATGAATAGCCTCTAAACATCCCCTACCCACCACCTGACAACATTTTTTTTTTCCAGTCATGGGGCCCGGGGTGCTGTCCCTCAGCTCTTCAGCTCAAGGCTAGCGCTCTACCACTTGAGCCACAGCACCACTTCCAGCTTTTTCTGTTTATGTGGTACTGAGGAATCGAACCCAGGGCATCATGCAAGTTGAGGCAAAGCACTCTACCACTGAGCCACCTTCCCAGCTTCTTCCCTTTTAAACAACAACAACAATAACAACAACAACAACAACAACACCAGGTCAAGGTTCAATTCTGGGACTGTCAAGGTTGAAGGAGACAGATGGTAGAGTGGCAGTGGTCCAGCAGAGGGCGCTCATGGCACCAGGGAGGCCAGGCTGTTGTCCGGGCTGTGGAGCATGGGTAAAGGCTGACATACCAAGTGTGGTGGGCAGATCAAGCCAGAGTCAATTATTGATGGAGGCTGTGTTTAGTTGTATTTGATACTGTGGGTAGACCTATGTGTTTATAAACTGTGGCAGGCAGAAGCTCAGGTGACAACTGAAGAATTTTAGGGTTCAAAGATCACATGGACGAACACTGTGTTCTTTAAGATTTTGCAAACATTCTGTTCCATTCTTTCTCTTTACTGATGTTCCCCCCCCCCCGCCAGGTGTACAGTTTAATTTGCAAAGAGAAAACAGGCAATCACAAATGTGGAGGTGTGATCACACCTTCTGTAGGGGGTTCTGGTATTTTCTTTTAGCTAGACTCTCGCGCCTGTCTGTAATACCTTGGAATGTACTTTTCTTTCCACTGGAGACATCCCCCCTTTATTTCTCTAACGAGATAGCTTCCCTATCCATTTTAATACCTTGTTCAAATGTTGTCTCCTCAATAGAACCTTTTCCAAACGCCTCTCCCCCAGAAGAGTTGAGTACTTTCTTTTCTGCTTTCACCTCTTCTCAATGGTGACCATTTATTGATGCCCACAGCTCTGTCTCATATACAAGCCTGTGGTGTGGAATAACTATGGTTAGAATGGTTAGATTCTGGATCAAGTGCAGATCCTTCTCACTATAACCCTATGCAGTAAACAGTCACCTTCTCTTATTGCACACGTACAGATAGGATTGGGTGAGACTGAGTCATTTGTTCAAGGTCAAACACTCATTTTGTCTGAACCCTAAACTTGATCCTTTTCATAAACCACTAGGCTTACAGTCTCTGTGTGGACCTTCCTATTTCTCACTACTATTTTCCCCTCCCTCCCTCCCTCCCTCCCTCCCTCCCTTCCTTCCTTCCTTCTTTCTTTTCTTTCTTTCTCTTTCCTGGTCCTGGGGCTTGAATTCAGAACCTGGGAGCTGTCCCTGAGTGCTATTTCTCAAGGTTAATATTCTACCACTTGAGTCACAGCTCCACTTCTGGCTTTTTGGTGTTCAGTTGAAGAGTCTCAGGGATTTTCCTGCCTCTTTTCAAAGACTGGCTTTGAACTATGATCCTCAGATCTCAGCCTCCTGAATAGCTAGGATTACAGGGATCAGCCATCAGCACCTGGCTCTTGCCTAATTTCTTTCTGACACCAGGAGTATGTTAAAGAAAACTATTTTTTAAAAGTAAATGAAAAATGGCATAGAGTTTGGACTTTTACAAATGGCTCAGTAAAAGCATCATAAAAGTAAATGTACAGGATTTTGGACTGCATTGGGGTGCATGAGTATAAATCAGGACCAGTCCCATTGGTTTCTTGATCCTGGCCAAAATACCTGATTTGCCTGGGCTTCAGTCTCTTCCTCTGGGAAAGAGGGTAATGGTGTACATACCACTGAGGTCTGCTATGAAGATTAACTGAATTTTGATTCTCACACAAAGTTTTTACATGAGATACAAAATGCTTAGAATGGGGCCTGGTAAACTCCTAAAACTGTTAGTTGTTGAAGACAGTTCATGGCAAATAAGTACATGGAAGAGTGTTCAACATCTTTATAGTCATCAGAGAGATGAAAATCAAAATTGTACTGAAATTCCATCTCATCCTAGTCAGAATAATTACTCTTAAGAAAGCAAAAACAAGAACAAATACAGGTAAGGGTTCAGGAAAAA